GCATCAACTACATTTTGTAATAATAAATTCCATGTGTGCTATAAGAAGAAATCAAATGTCCACCGCTGAATGGAATTAGATGATACTGGATGCTAGTATTATGAAAGACGGAAGGGGGGAAAATTTGTTTCTACTTTCTCCACACCACTAATTTGCTAGCCCTCTATCATGCCTGTTAGTTGCCTTCTGTACTATCCTAAAAAGCTTTCAACGTTGTAGCTTTCCTATAAGGGCAGGAAAATTGTTCTACCAGTCCCTTGATAATTTTGGATCCCCATTTCTGCATTTTTCAAGCTTTATTATGTATTTTCTAACATGTGGTTACCAGAACTGTACATAGTGTTCCAAATGTGGCCATGCCATATAAAGGTATTATGAAATTGGCACTATTCTTTTCAGTTCCTTCCCAGTTGATCCCAACACAGAATTTGGCTTTTTCACAGCAGCAACATATATGCATTGAGATTTTCTTCAAAATTCTGTTAATTCCTGGCATCATTTTTTGGATTCAGCTCTCCAGAAAAGAATGGAATGAGACAATTGATCCAGAAGGATACCAACTGTTGCCTTCTGCAAGAGTAAATGTTATCTCAATAACAAGCATTGCTAGGTATAGTAGATGTTATATCCCCCCGGTCTTTTTTTTAGGCTACAGCATTAATTATCAGGGTAGTTGTATAAAGAGGAAAAAAAAATTGGTTTTGGTATCTCATCTACTATAGATGAACTAACGGTAGTTTTTATTGATGTTTCATGTATTGTTATTGTTTGATGTATCATTTGTGGTTTTAAACTATTTCTTTGGAGATGTTTCAAAACATGCTTTTTTTTGGCAAAAAACATGGAATTCGTGGCAACATTAGGCACCCTCCTGCAAAAAATCTGTTCCATACTGCACATAGTTGGGTCTTGGTCTTTTCTCTGTTCTTTATGAGGCAATTATTGTGGCAGACCTGAACATGGGGTGCCAGTAGCATCTAATCAAGTACAGCTATTTGAGAGGGACAGAGAAAATAGACTGTAAGGACATTAATTCAGACAGAGCCTGGGAAACATCCCAGATCTTTAACAGTAAATACTATAACTTACTAGACAAGTGTTTGGCAATTATATAAATACTGGCAATACCCAAGGAAAAAAATGGAACTACAGTACAAGACATTGTCTTCCAGCCGTTAAAAAAAACTAGCCTCACGGTTGACTTCCTTATATGGTCTACTCCATAAGATTGCTGTAGGCTTTTCAGCACGACACGCTTCATCTCTGAAAAGGAAAGTTCTATCCCTATTCACGGGGATTGCCCCTCACTTATTGTAGAATCAGATGCCTTTCTCTTGATCATGCTGTTTGGCTTTACAGTCCAAGAGTCGGGCACTTGTTCTTTATGTTCCCAGGTATTTGATGAATAAAAGAGGAATTGTGCATCCTCAAATCAACAGGAAGAAAACTCTGACAGAATCCTTATAAACTGCTGAGGCAGATGACCAGAAAGTACCAATCTCATCACTGTTCTACCTGTACTATTTTCTGGTCCTGCTATTATTCTGGAAAAAAAAAAGTAATTAAAGAAGATAGGTATTGGATCCTGGATTACTTTTCACTGCTGGTTAGTATCTCCCATTCTTTTCCCTTGCATTGAGATAATAGCACTGTTTGACATGTGCAGTGATTTGCCATTCATGCTTACTGTATGTAGATCTGATTTGTTTGAAGATCTCCAGTCCCTTTAGCAATCTTACTAAACATGGTATCTTGCTTGAAATGCCACCTTCTGTATCATTGCCAAGGAATCTTGAAGAACCTTTCATTGATTTCCTTCCCTATTTTCTAGAATTCTGGTTTATACAGAGCAAATGTCTTTCATGTGGGGACAATAGTAAGGCTTATTTGGCTTCTGATGCATCACACTTGAATGAAGAACATGGACTAAAATTTAGCTGGTGCTCCCCTGTATGTGTATATTCAGAGAAGATGTATATCTAAGGCAGAAAATGTGATGTAGGTCATCTGTTTTGCAAAACAAAAAACAAAAAAACGATGGTGAGTCCTAATCTGGAGCTAGTTTACATTCTTCCACCTGCCCACATCATTTTCATAATTACCATGACTGGAAAAAACATATGTGCATCCATATATTTTGCCATTTGGGACAAATAACTGTTTCAGAGGGAGAGGGGCTTTTGGTGGGGAAAGGGCTAAAATCCTTCTCTGTGCAGAAAATCTGTTCTGAAATTTCTACTCCCTTCAGGTTGGCTTTTAGTAAAGGACAGTGGAATTTCCAGTTGTGGAGTCCAATATTACACCTCCTAAGTCTATTTTAACTCTTAAAAGAACCTATTTTAAACACTCTTTGGATCCATAGTAAAAATATTATGAAGCTGAATGTGCCTGTGTCTGAAATGGATATTCCAATTTACATTTGGAATGTGTCTTCTCCCTCCCTCCCTCCCTCCCTCTCTCCCTCCCTCCCTCTAATAAGGTGGCTGAAGATATTAAGATGCAGCCTTCTTTCACACACACTGAATTTACAGACTGCAAGGATTTCAAAGGAGTCACATGTTCTTTGCTGTCAATGAACTATGCATGAAGGAGTTCCAGAGAAATGAAGAATCATTACATATCCTTTCTGATCATCTGGATTTATTTTTAGTGTCAGAAAGACAGACATCACATTGATAAACCTCAATAGGAAGTCTACCTAGAGCAAAAGACTTTAGGATTTGATGCAAAGTTAGAGAATAATTTTATTTATTGGAATGTTTGGAAATTATAATTAAAATAAATAGGGAATGTCATGTGCTTAGCTAACTGATATGATTACATCATTGTTTTCTATACATCACATCTTATTCATTTTTTTCTGAACTGAAGCCATACTTCACTCTTGTTCTGGGAGAGGAATAATTTATGGATGGATTATTATTTACTCCTTCTCAGAGGCATCTCCCTCCTATGTTTCTCTGTGAGTTCCTGATCTGGATACACCCACTGCTTGGATAAAGGCATGCCCAAAGAAATTATTCTCAGGAACAGTCAAAAAGGAGATCATCTCTGAAGATGAATAATTGTTCTACATGCCTACATTGGGAATTTTGAATTATTTTGAATTATTCATCATGTTTGATGTGGTTACCAGCTTGCCCAGAAACTGATTTGAAGGCAGGTTCATGAATTGTGTAGAGCTGCAGTGGATAACCTTGTGGGGGGACATTTCAGGTTCATGCCTAGCTTTAATTTACTACTTGTACCAGGTTAGCATGTTCTGGCACACATTTTGGAAATAATTAGCTTCTCATTTTTAATGACTGCTTTAGATCTGTCTCTAATTTACCACTCAGAAAAAGTATAAAAATCATCAATGTCACTTGAAGAACAATCCTGATGCTGGTTGAAAGAAGAGTGAATCACTAAATTCTTTAAAAGACCTACAGGTACTCCTTGTTTAGTGACCACAACTGGGACTGGTAACTTGGTCATTAGGTGAAGCAGTCACTAAGTGAAACCATGACTGTGCTTATGAACTTACTCCAGCTTTCTTTTGCTTTACAGACCTGTGAAGGTCGTAAATGCACAGATTGGTTGCAAAGCTACTTTTTCATCACTGTCATTACTTTGAATGGTTGCTGTATGAGGCAGTCACTAAACAAGGACTACCTGTACTGAATTTTCAGACCAAGGCAAGAAGTGTTCAGGGGTAGCTTTGGCTGCTTCTTAGATGTTTGCTTCTCAAATTCAGTCCACTTTGAAACAAAGGGGAGCACTGCAGCATTATATGTATGTCAACTATAAGTGGGACTTCTAAGCAAGACATGGTTTTCCTGCCGATGGGATTGCTTTCCCTTTTGCAGAAAGAAGCCTTTCCCTATACTTACTCCCACCAAACTGCAAATCTGGAGTTAGGACTAATATTGGCCATACATACAAATAAGCGGTGTCTTACTCTGAAATTGATTTACTCTGGCAACATAATCTGATGCGAGAAGGGTAGGCACCTAGGCCACTTTTCCTTGTCATCCATTAGGTTCTCTGTCACACTTATTGAAAAAAGAACGAAGTACTTTAACTTTAAAAAGAAGTAGGGAGTTGGCACGCAGCAAAACAAAGCTCTAGCATTGCCTTTATTGATACGAATGCACTGCAAAGTAAACACCACAGGTCTTCTTAAAAAGGTTGGACGGCGGCAGTTTTGTTTAGAAATGTGTCCACCTGCAGGAGGGGGGAGGGGAAGGTAACCCAGGTGACAGCAAGCACTGCAGGAGGGAGGGAGGCTCGAGGGGGGAGCGGGGAGCGACGTCGTCCACTGGACTTCCAAGAAGCAGGAGTTTTGCGGCCGGCCACGCTCCCACCGCAGCTGTTTTGTGAGGGCGTCCATCACGGCATCCTCTCAGAATTACCACTGTGCCCACTACCTCCGACAGGCCGGCCTGAAAGGGGCGCTCAGAGGAGCGCGCAGGCTTGTCGGAGACGCGAGGCGGGCGGCTGATAGGCTACCAAGCCTTCAGCAAAGGCATTGGGCTTCGAAAGTTATCAGCCTCCTAAGCGCCTCCTCCCTCTTCGCTTTGCCAATCTCCAGCCTCGAGGTCGCTTCACGTGCTCCGGCCAGGGGGCTTTAGAGGGGAGTCTATTTTTCACGCTCGCTATTCCTCTCCCTCCGCGCCCATCGACGTCCCGAGAAGCGAGCGCCAGGCGCGGGAGGCACCCTCCCCACCAACTAGAGCAGAGACGCGCGGGCAGAGCCGCGGCTCT